TGAGATCCTGGCTTATAGTTTGTTTGTTTTTTGGTATGTATTGCCATGGCAACAGAACTAGACTAGTAGACTCCCTAATGTTTTAATGTAGGGTCGTGAGGAATAGATTAGCTTGCGGCTAAGTGAATTTGGTATTGCCGGAATCGCGTGTCAGCTCAACGTACGCTGAATGAATAGATTACCAATTATGTCATCAGATCCGCATCAATCTTCTCTCGTTATGTCTAGTGAAGAAATAGTTTACAGAGGACCGGGGGGGGGGGGGGGGGAGAATGTTTAGGTCTCCGATCTTGCTGCCTCTGACCAGGTCAACGAGAGGAGAAGTTTTGATCTAGTGTATACGGTATCAGAATTGTTCTATTTAAATAGCTGAGATAGAAAGAGTAAATATTTGTTGAAACATTCGTAGTGTGGTCAGATCAAAGTGCCTTTGTTCTTGTAGTAAAATACACCCTCCCTACCTCGAGTCTGCAATGTCATCAAAGGCTCTCGTGTGGTTTCAACTAATTTGTCAGACGATACTGATGACCGGCAGTGTCCTATCAATGGATTCTAATGCTACGGAGTTTGACTTTCTTAGACTGCATCAAGTACTTCTAACAAATTACAGGTAAAATTTGATTTCTTTTAAAAGTATGCTGTTTTTAGCTGGTTTACCATGTGAATCTCATTGCGCTATACTAAATCATAATATACAGAGATCAACTAAGACTTCTTGAACGCTTTCACCAAAGATGCTTGCGCTCCAGCATGGACATATAGTGGCAAGACCCCATTACAAACAGCGATGCCCTTGCGCACGAAGGTATGGACTGGGCAGAGCATGTACCCCGTGATATGCCAAAAGCAGCTCCGTTTTGATGAGCTGAAAGGTGGTCGACGTAACAGAGTCCAGCTTAGACGCTAGCTTGCTTGAACTGACATAGACGAGAGCACCTGACAGCTTCGGAAAGAAACAGCAGGAGCTCACTTACAAAGGCCGCGCGATACACATTTGAGGCCAAAAGAAAATCCACAGCCGAGGACAGATCTAGACAGTGAAGTGAAAAGAAAATCTAAATTGACTAGCTGCGGAAAATGGTTATGTCTGCGATGAATGTGGCAAAGTATATAGGTCGCAGCTGGGGCTGCGTAGCCACGGGAAACACTACAGCCTTATTATAATGCAACTATTGTCATTTTTAAAATGATATCTTATCTTATAAAATACAGACGTTACTTCTAAAAAGAAGATGATTACGTCCTACGTGTCCAATCATTGGTTTTTAGCTTTCTCAATGCACTATGATCCATTCACTAGTCTGTACCAGTTGGGAAAAGAAGGGGGGGGGGGGGGGAGGAAGAAAGAAGGTATGTCTGTGTACATCGCTTTTTAAATGCAATTTATAAAAAAAAAGTATGACTTGAATTCCAACTCGAAGGCTCAAGCCATTTTAAAAGCACTAACCACTAACCACTGCGCCAGCGAAGTGATTATGAAAATAGAAGGTTTTATAGATATCTATTGTTAACGACCTAATTAAGTATAAAGGGGACTAATTCAGCTTATACTACCGCATGTCAAGTACAATTTCTTTCCCTTGTTAGATACCAAACAAAAAATTAAAATGCCGATAGTCCGTTAATTTTATTTTTTATTTTTTTATTTTATTGATTCTTGTTTTGTCGGGTACAATAGCTAATTGCCTCAAAGTTTAAACTTGACCCCGAGATGGGTGTGGGAGAAAAGACGTGTACAAACTTTTTACCAGACTGTAAGAGTGACCTTTTAAAAGCTTTGTAAAATAGTAGGCTATCCACCACAATTGATCATGGCTACTATTCACGGGGTTGGGTGTACTTAGTTGATCAGATAATTGGGGCACTTTCAACTTTCACTATCATAATTCAACTATGTCTGGACGTTGTGCACAGGGAATTGCTTAGAGGTGCCCCTGACACTCTGACACATGGCCTATATTAGAGAGGCGCCCCTGACACTCTGACACATGACCTATATTAGAGAGGGGCCCCTGACACATGGCCTATATTGGAGAGGCGCCCCTGACACTCTGACACATGGCCTATATGAGAGCGTTAATCTGTCACACAGCTAGGTCTGTTTATCACCCTTTCTTAGCTTAATAAATTTGATGAGCTTTTAAAACATGTACATCGCCATATTGCAGCAGACACATGCGCCCTCTGAGCAACCAGTCAGCTTCCATCACTGTGTCGCTCAAGTTCGATCTGTTATCTGTCTCTGATATTGATGATGTTAAACAGAGGATCTCTGTCTTGGCTGTTGTCAGTGTCCACTGGTGAGTATTGACTAGATAGACACTTTCTCCAAATGAGTCTGTTTTATAGTACATTCTTCTCTAATGTCTGCCTCTAAGTCAAATCTAAGTCAATAGTTCGTGCTCCGAGAAAATGGGCGATTTAAAATATTTAGAGATGGAATTAAAATGCTCATTTTCTTAGAGTAAATGATTATTTATTATTATTTTCAATCGGAGACGTATAATCAAAAGAAATGTTTAAAAAATCAAAAACTTTATTCTGTTTAAGGCAGTTCTTTATCAAAATAATCATAAAGTTTCCTTTTTTTTTTTTTTTGATTGGGGGGGGGGGGGATGCTTTATAATTTAATACAAGAATGTGTTGATGTCAACTATGGTACACTATTGGACAAAAGGAAAAAAAGGGTAACATTGTTAAGTTGTCTATTTAAGTTTTCTTTTCATCGTCTGAGTCTGTATTTGGCAAGGGCTCTTCTTTAGCGTGTCCCGCTATCTTCTTGAAAACTCTTTCAGAGGCCATCTACTTTTCTCTAAAAGTAAACTTAGCTTAACTCGTCGCGCTGTGTTGTCTCGCTACTCGGTACCTTTTAGACCTTTTCAAAGTACATCTCTAGAACATGGTCAGATTTTTTTTCCAACAGTGGAAATCTCCAAATTAACCATTATCTCAAAGGTTAAAAAAGAAAACAACTTCAAAAGTATTTCACGAAAACTATGAGTAGAAAAGCTACGAAATCAATTCTTTTTGGTAATAATTTAATGTTAATGCACTAATAATGATAAAAGACAACAATGCTTTTTTTTTAAATAGGAAAGATAAGAACTTAATGTGGGAGCCACGACACTACGGAGGATTGGATCGCATGTATTTCAGTCAACAACAAATCTGGGCGCCGACTGTGTACATCGTGGAGTCTCAAACCAAGGGCCCCACTTTGTTCAACCTTCCCACAAACCACTTAGTCGTTCCAGACGGTACGGTTATGTTTAGCTCTTCGGGAATATTGGAGACTTCGTGCAGCTTGGACATGACGTACTTCCCCTACGACTACCAATCCTGCAAATTTGGCTTCGGGGTACTGGACTCCTCAAAACGGGACATTAACCTAATATCAGACCCCAGAGGCCCGCAAAAGGCGTCAGCTTTTGTTCCGGATGGAGAATGGAATGTCCATGGGTTCTCAACAGCTGAGCATTCTTACGGAAGCAAAAACTACGAATTTCAGACTTTGTATGTTATCATGAAGCTCCAGCGGCGTTCCACTTACTATGTTCTGAATGTCATCGTCCCAGCCGTGACCGTGTCCATGTTGAGCTTAATCACCTTCGCTGTCCCCGTCGAGAGCGGCGAGAGGCTTGCCTACGCGCTGACAAACCTGCTGTCCCTGTCCGTGTACATCACCTACATCGGTAGTATTATCCCGTCCTCTTCCGTGGACCTGCCCATACTACTCCGATACCTGGTCTCTCTCTTCCTCATCAGCTCCATGTGTGTGGTCATGACGGTTGTCGTCATCGTCATGCGATGGAGCCGGGTGGTCTCCTCCTGCGACAACTATAAGTCCATCTTCATCTTCGGGCTCCTGCTGAACATTCGCAGGAGCGACAAAAGATTCGGGACGCTCTGTCGCAGAAAGCGCATCGCATGTGTGGAGTACAAACTCCCAGTACCGACGGACGCTCCTGGTTTGAACTCTGTGGAACTACAAAATCTCTGGGACACTGTGAATGAAAAGTCGTTGGTCGACACGCCTGCATTGCTAAAAACTTCATCAGAGCTTCTTCACGGAATGAAGCCAGCCAACAAGGAAGTGACCAAAACTAGTCACCACAAATCTCCGAGTTTTCACGAAGGAATGCACACATCCAACGATGACTGCATGCCGAAGAGAGGTCACGAGGCTTGTCCAAACTATGAGTTGCTGGAGGCCGACATGGATCCTGATGTTCTTCGGTTATGTTCCCGTGTAGATTTGTTTAGCTTTTTAGTTCTCTTTGCTATATTTCTTATAATGACAATAATGTCATTTGTACAATTAAACAGTCAACACTAGACTGAAATGAGCATTGAGCTTTAATTTGGCTTGTGCTCACCCAGTTAATTAGTTTTTCTCTCTTCATTATTTTAAGTATCGAACTTAGATTTATTTCTATTACATTTAACTATTTTATTGTTCAAAGTGTTTATACCTTAGTTAATGATACAGTCTAGATAACACGAACTGATAATGAAGACATTTCCTATTTCTTTTCTTCTTCTTTCAAACAATGTGTTTATATAAGTCTCTTTTGTTCATTGCAAACAATGTGTTTGAATAAGTCTCCTTTGTTCATTGCAAACATTTTGTTTATATAAGTCTCTATTGTTCATTGCAAACATTTTTTTTAAGTTAAACATTCTTTTTCATGCAGTGGATTATTCCTTTGTCTTCAAATCTTTTTATTTAAAAAAAAAAAAAAAAGGCCAATAGTGATACCGAAAGAGAGAATAATAGATGAGTCGATCGAGCACACAATGGTTCAATTTTGTCAGAATCTGCTTATCTGGGTCGCCATAACCAGGTTGCGAAACTAATTCATCCGCTCAAAGCAATAACTCGTGGTCTCATTTACGGAGAAATACGCCTCCTGGCTACATACAGATCAAAATAGAACATGGGCTTCTAGTCTACCAATGTCACATATTACTGGGATAGACCTACATTTACAGGCACTACTATCGACTGTTTATTTGCATTGAAAGTAGGCCTAACATTTTAAAAAGTTTTGTTTTTTAAAATAACAATTCCTACTTTATGAAGCTGATTAGTTTTTGTAAGTGCAATTATTTCATTCTTAATAACTAATGAACGATTGATTTTTTAAAATTAGAACATTATTTACCCCGCCCCAATCCTCCGATTAAGTGAATGTCTAGATCTATCTACAATTCTAATGCTAGGCCTTTAGATCCAGACTTAGATGACGGTGAGCGACATTTTGGGAACGTCCATTTATTTAAATCTTGAATGAATTCATGTGGGAATACCAGCGGCCGTATGTGTGTCCTATGTTCAAGATATAGATTGTCTAGTGTCCATTGGACTTGGTTTACTTTTGATCAGATATTAGACCAGTTGACATTATTTACAGTCAACTTTACACTGATAAATATTAGAGCAGTTGACTTGGTTTAATCTATATATATTCCTTTAGGATAATAAAGATATACACATAGTAAGTGTTGCAACATAATTTTAAGTGTTTCTTTATATCCATAAAGAAATTATTATTTATATCCATAAAGTAACTTCTTTTTTTATTAAGTGCGTCTACATAATTCACCCTAGAAAGTTTGGCTTTATGAAAAAAAAAAAAAAGACTTCCTGTTTTGAACTAAAATTTTAAACGTAAAAATTGAGCATGAAAAAAACAAATCAAACTGTCCAATAAGAAACAAGCATCTGTTTATTCAAGTTTCCACCAATCACAAGGAACAGACACGTCAATCAAAATTTCATTCATCATGTTATAAAAAGTACAAATTGTTTCAAAATAAAAATCAAATGTCTTGATGAGATTTTGAGCTTTTTGTAAAACAAAAATAATTTTAAAAAATCATATAAGTAATCTCATTCTTTTTTTTTATTTTGATGTCTAAATTGTTCAGCAATGGACAGACAATGAAAGGTCAGAGGTCACAAAATACAAGAACTTACTGTTCCATAATGTTTATTATACACATTATTTTCAACCCATCAGGTGACTTAAGCTAGCAATTTGTTTTAAAAGTTTGCCATATGGTACTTTGCCATATGGTACAATAATAGTGAAAGAAGCACCTCAAACGTTGTACAAAGCCAATGAATGCATAGTTAGCCTTATAAAAACAATGTGATAAAACAAAAACTCTGAAGGATTCACAGTTCGCCAAAGTGATCTCAACAAACCTTGTTTGGGTACACGTCTATTTGAAATGTTGCCATATCATCAGTCTCTGGGCGACTGCTCCCAGAACTTCATCTGGAGAAAGACTTCACTGGAAGTTAAACAAAGGGAAGGTAAGTTTGCAGTTCAACTGAAGAGCCACTTTTAAATATATTCTCCTTAAGCTCAACAAAAAATGGGAAGCAGAAGTGAAAGAATATTATATAAAGAAAAACTATTCAGTAAACAAAATTAATTAGTGAACCATTTTCTGAGTTTAAACAAATCAATAGATCCCCCCCCCCCCCCCCCCAAAAGATCTAGATAGGTACCCAATAAGACACATTCTAGAAACTACAAATTTTTAGCTATTGCTGTGAATGTTCAAGTCTCCCTAATGTCCTTGTATGTAGAAAACTTCCAGATCCATCTTTCTCCTAAATGGCATAAAAAGAAAAAAAAAACATTTGAATAAAGAAAAAAAAATGTTGAGAAAAAAAGAAATACTGCAATAAGTCCAGCAACATTTTCATTTTAAATTGAAAAAAAAAAAATTTTCATTATACAAAAAAATTAGGATTGAATTGAATCTGCAAACTGTTTTTTCATGATCATATTGTTCATAACCTCCAGTTCATAGCATTGTATTTTGTTATAAAACAGAAATGTTCTACACACAATGACAGCTAGTTTATATAATAGATACATGTACACATCTAAATATAAGCATATCATAGATAACACAAGTTAAATCTGTGTGAGTCAGGAGCATTTAAGTGGTGAGTTGGGGGGAGAGGTACGGCAGCTGCCTGATACATGTTGAACAATCAGTCCAGTAACACAATTCTTATCAACAGGTCTCTTTAAATTACACAGGCACAATTGCGTACATATATAGGCCAGTGAATTTAGGTTTTACACAGAATGTGAAGGAAAGCAGCAAAAGTAATTGAGAGTTCTCTCTCTTGGTAACTTTTTGTTTTTCATACATAATCACTAGAGACACCAATAAAGAGTTGTTTCAAGATGATTATGTTACTTTGATAAGCAGAGTTAAATAAAGAACATCAATACTAAAACCCCTGTTGTTGTTTTTTTAAAAATTCTTTTACTATTGGTGGCAAACCAGGAATGACCATGTCACTGAAAATGACTGAACACTCCCCCTCCGCTCTCAATGTAAGGATGGTGTGTTTCACCAAGCCATTATTTTGATTTGACAATTATAGTTATAACCTGACATAAATATCTCTACATACATAGTTGCAATCATATACAAAATATTTTTATAGACAATCTATAAGTAAATATAATTTTTCTACTTTTTAAAAAAAATTCCTATGTATGCCATAAAAAAATATTTTAAAAAAGCCCCAAAATATTTTTTTTTATAGTTTGAATATCTTTATAAGCATTAAATCACAGTATTATATTGTGTACAAGGTTATCATCAATATATCAATACTGTACAAACTGTGTCAGAGTAAAAAAGAAATCAATCAAAGGACAATCTACTTGACAGTTTGATTCCCTGCATGATGGTCCACTAGGTTCAATTGTTTATAGTAAAAAAAAAAAAGTAATTTTTCTTTTGTTCCAATGAAATAAATAGTATCACTATGGTCAATGGGTTTTACAAAGGGAATGATTTTAAAAAATGAGAGAATAAATTATATACATCTTTATATCCTCACATAATACAAGTTGAGCAGATCTCAGGAGTTTGCTGACTAAACTTTTACTTATATGTACATCTAAAAAAAATTGTGTTAACTCTTTTATTCTAGTTTGTAATTGGCATTTTTGTTTAGAGCAACCAAGTGATATAAATGTTCACATATAGTCCAACTAGTTTAGTAAAAATAAATAATTATTTAGAGAATAAAAGACAGATCCAAATAACCAGGTTTAAAAAAAATGTTGTGGCCCCATCTCATGAGCATCTCCTAAGTTTGTTGTACTCCAGTTACTTTCTGTTGATATAGTGCAGTGCAAAGTGGCATTCACTGAAATAATAAACAAAAGGTTTATCAGAAGTCATGATGGACAGAAAATGATGTCACAACCAGAAGGAAAGTACATTCATCATTTTTAATTTCCTATAACTTCTAAAACATATCCCAAACTAAAGCAGGACATTTTGGAGCATCCATTTTGGGTGATGGACCTTTTCGTGCACAATATTTTAGCCACATTGCAATTGTTCATTTGATTATGTCTTTACAAAGAATGAGACATCTCTTATGTTTCTAGGTTTTGTGTGTCTGTGTTCAAAAGTAGTTTTTAGTAAAGAACAATATATATGTATATATATAATTTTTTTTGTGACAGCACGCACCAGTACAGCCTTCCGGCACCTTTTTCAATGTGGGGAAAAATTATTACTTTTCTTGTACTTTAACATTTATTATTAATTTATTAGCAGTTGAAAGTTAGGCATCACTAAGTACTGGCACCAATTTTTTTTTTTACAAAAAAGCTTTATATATATATATATATATATATATATTTAAAAAAAAAAATTTTCCCCATAGAATTCAAGTTTGTTGTGTAATTATTGCTAAACAACTAACATTATAAGATATGTGTAGGTTTTAATATTGTCCAAAAACAAAATGAAACAAAAATATTTTTAAAAAATCAATGCAATTTTTAGTGCATAAGAAAATGATGAATTTATAGTACCTCCAACACAAAAAGGAGGGGGAAAACTGATGTTATCCTGTGCCTATAATTTATGGGGCAATCACCATGGAGCCATCTATAGTTTGCAATTAGCTTTCATGAAATAGTCAAATTTTTTTTTTTTTGAGGGGATCGAGGGAGAATATATACTGTATATAGTACCTCAATAAGTTGGATATCCTTCTCCGAAAAGTCAGGTGGCTTCAGGCTTGAATATCTGAGTCTGAGCAAGTCACCAACATCATCTATGATTTTCAAAGCCTAAACGTGTAAAAAATAAAGGTTCACTTTTTAGTGAACATATACATATATTTTTTGGAAAACATTAATAATAGAATTAGGCAAAACATTCAAAGGGAAGTGATACAAAAAAATTTAATTGGGTATGTAGATTATACTGTCAACAGTAAAAACTAATGTTACTGAAAGTACAAATAAGGATAATGAGTGAGTCATTGGTTAGTCTTTAAAATGTGCATTTGCATACGAGATTTTTAGTGAGTAAAATAAGAATTACCTCATCTAACATTTCCTTGGTGTGTGCAGCTGATAGACAAAATCTGGCCCTGGTCTCAATAAGAGGAGTAGCTGGGAACCCAACCACCACAGTGGCCATACCACGCTTCAGTGTTTCCCTACTGAACATTCTGTTCAAATAAATCATAACTAATAGTGGAAAACATATCCTTGGTGATAACAAGTTTATAAGAATAAATGAAATAATATGACCAACGTATTATAACAAGGATTCTTATAGTAATAACCTAAATGTAGGATATTTAGGTTTATCCCTACCATTCTAAAAACATACAGAACCAATGCATTTTTTAATGTTGTATTAGTACATCATGCATTCTTCTTTTAAATAGATGCAGTGGCTTACAAGAGTTATATCTTAACCAATCTTTAGTGTTAAGTGACAAGAAAGAACTCAAACAAATATTTCCTGTTTTCTAGGAACTCATTCAGAAAATAAAACTATTCATTGAAAAGAAAACCTACAAAGGTAAATGAAGTATTTTAAGTGTAAAATGGATTAGTACTCACGCTACTTTGGAAGGCATATATAACAAAAGTGGCACAACTGGTGAGTCTTTATTGCCATAAATAATGTAGCCTCGGTCTTGAAGTCGCTTTCTGAAGTATCTGGTGTTCCAAGCAAGCTGTCTAATGTGCTTCATGCCTAAACATAAAATAAAAAAAGAAATTATAAAAAAAACATAAAAAAAAAAAAAAAAAAAAAGAAAGCTTATATTAAGCGTACTTGTATCAATTAGTTTGGACCAGTCATGTAATTAACTTTGTAATAGCTGTAGACTTTACTAGACAATAAAATAGCATTTATAAAAATATTTTTAAAAAGAGGGAACAACCAGAATTCGAACTCATGGCTCTAGCCTTCTCAACCCATAGGTAACCATCTGCTAGTGGAGAGATTATGAACATGGAAGATTGTATAGTTATCTATTGTTTCTATAGACTCTTCCTATTTTTCAGG